ACGCCGATGGGTGTGACTAAGCGGGCACCCATCCAAGTACTAACCCAACTGAGCGTTGCTTAGCTTGGGTGATCGCCGGAGTCACACACCGCCCGCGTGGCTACTGTCGCCGCTAGTGTCATTATTTTTCTGCCTCCAAAGGTGACTTTTTACCGACCGAGTGGTAAAATGTTCTGAATGATCGGCACTTTTTCCGATTTTACATTTCGCCCCACGTTTATCTTTCACACGTGAATTTTTACGGAACTTTTTACGTATTTTTTCCAGTATTTTTCTCTCCGCGTAAAAACCAATAAAAAATGAATAAAATATATAAAAAATTATTTTATTGGTCAAAAAAATACATTTTTATAGAAAAATTACAATTAAACAGTTCAATGATTTACAACTGCATAATTTCATTCGTGTCTTAACTAAACTTAATAATTGAATCATGATTTAAATTTAAATTTAATAACATCGACCATACAAACTTTGACGATTTAATTTTGCTATTTGTGAAGATGTGGGTATCGTCGAACCTTCTGCCTCGTTGGGAATTGCTAAAAAAGAGAAAAAACAAACATTAATATTATATTATTTTAGTAACAATTTTACTCCAATAGTCGACTCAATTTGATAAATGAGTAGTAAAATCAATACAAATCGTCAATAAACAATGAAAAAATACTAAATAAATTATTCCAGCCAACTGGGCAAGATCCTCAGCATAATATTTAAATAATATCACGATTTTGTCAATTTGAAGGAATAATAATAATAATTCAATATCATTTTATCTTAGTTCAGCACCATCAATCAGATCAATTATTGATTAATAAGCAAAGATATTTGAAAAAAAATTATTTCCTAACAAACAAATTCACATGAAAAATTATCGCAATTTATTTAAATGTCAAGTTGCAATATTCAAAATACTCCAATCTGATTGTATAGACTCAGAAGAAACCGAGAATATATTTTTATTCACACGCACACAAACATACTTTAATGATACTTAAATTTTCGGAAGTACTTCGTCACTATATAATGGTTTCAAAAGAAACTAATTGCCCAAGAATAGTGATTATTAAATTTAGGTATTAATATTAATAAATTTACAATATATATATATGCATATAAATGAGCTGACGCCTATTGATCACAATTCGCAATAAATACAAGAGGACAGGGATAAACTGACCCTTGTGTCTGATGGTCCGACGGCAAGAGAGCAAGCCTACCTATATGCGCTGTCTCCAATCCTCCCAGATACTCCGCGCCACTATCTCTAAATATTAAAATTTCTGGCCCCATCAAGCGGGATATTTCAAATCATTAAAATATTAAAGGTAACAATGAGATTATTTATAGAGTTAATATGGTAATTCTTACCTGTGAGATACTGTATATTTTACGTCTGCAAACCATTCTCGAAGTGTACCTGAGAACTAAAATCATTAATAGTGGGAAAGGCCCCACTCTTTCCCCTCTCTCTGAGAATCACCAAAACTTTCTCTCTCCAAGCAGATACCTAAAAATAATGAGAACAATCAAAGGGAAAACACCGCTGATTTTTGTGGTGCACAACCATACAACCGCATACAGCACCTCCAAATAATGAAAATTGGGAAAGAAAAATGAAGACACAACTCACTGTAGATTGCCTCTTCCTCAAGCAGGTCGCTAAGGAGATCGTGCAAGTCCTCATCCTACTCGGGCTACGGGTCCTCGGCAATACGGTGTTGTTGGGGTGCTGGGTCGTGACATAGCCCCTGTAAAAAAAGTAGATGGCATCAGTTCTTGAATCATTATGAGACGAACAAACGACGAAGTACTTACCACGACAAGCATGAGTCAAGCGGCTCCTCTGGAGGGAGTGCTTCACGAACGGCGCATTGTCATCACGCGTAATCCCTTTCCACGGGATGTTCTCCGATACCAGCTCCTCGGGGTGGAATGCCTCATGGAAGTATGCGTTTGCATCTTCCTGCGGATTATTTTCCCCCAGATGGAAAAAAAATACAACCTCTAAAAATTGTGACCAATTAATAATCGTTGTATCTTTATAATGGATAATGGAAAATAATATTACACATACTAAATTATCGAAAATGCCTGGGTCTGCATTTTCGAACGCGAAGAAATCGTCTAAACTCATCAGCAAGAACCCTTGAGGGAGGTCATCAAGTCGCTGCAATTGTTGACGTTAATGTTGCCTGAAGAGAAAAAAATATCAAATTAGGATTCTGAGTGACGGTAAAAATACGAAGTGTTATTTCTACTGAGGCTGGTACAGCATTCGTCATTATCTACTTAAAAATTGCATCGATCTGTGATCTTACCTTACCATCCGCTGGATTGCTTGGACTTTGCTTAGCAGATAGTGCTTGGAACAATAAATTGTTATGAAGAAACCCCTGGTATTTTTCTTCCGAAAAATTATTTTTTGGAACGTCACTAACGCCCATCATGGAGCACCGGCCATCTCAGCAACTTCGTCCACTGCTGCTTCTGCTTCTGCTGCTGCTGCTGGCAGGATTGCTGCTGCCTCTCCTGCTGCTTCTACTGCGGCTGCTTCTGCTGCTGCTGCTTCTGCTTCTGCTGCCTTGGCTATTGCCGCCGGCCCTGCAGCTTCTGATTTAGAGGCATCAGACCGGAGCCTCTCAGCCTCTGCTCTTAACGCCTCTGCTCTCCTCCTTTTCGCCTTTACCGTAGCAGCTCCTGCAGCAAACTCGAGTGGCTGGTGTGGGGTTAATCGTACCATCAATGGGCGTGGACTTGGGGAATTCACAGTGGTGGTAGAGCTCTGGTGTGAGAGGGAACGGGAAACTTGGGACGCATGAGAAGATTGGTGGGGCCCGGCGCATATGGAGGGAATGGAATGGAGTGAGTGAAGTAGGTTGGGTTGAGAAATTTCGGAGGAGGCATTCAGAGCCTGAATATCTGCGACCATGGCCGATAAGGCACGTGCTGCCAGGACAGTAGGACTTCCGCGTGTTCCTCGTCGTCCCTGCCCTGCTACTCGTCCTCTGTGTCTTTCTCCTCGTCCTCGTCCCTGTTTTGTCGATTCCATCTACAAATTCAGTAGCAGGCAAGAAATAGCACATATTATCCCTGAGCTTTGGGAAGCAGATCATCCTCTGCTACATGCAGCGTTGCTTTCCAAGTCGGACGCGGCAGTGGCAAGCCACGGAGGAAAGCTGACATGTTTTCCATAGCAAGGCTTGAACATCATTTTCTCAAACGTAGGACCTAAAAACTGCAAATTTCAGGGCATCGGAGAGAAATTAGGATCGTGTCTGCAAATCATGTAATTCTTAATAATATCATTACTCGGGCATATTATACTGACTTTGGAATAAGTGCATGATTACCAGGATTCATTGGCGAGGCAGAACCAAAGTTAGCGAGAGAATGCGAAGCAACCCTGGTAAAAAAAAATTGTAATCGGAATAACCTTTCCAAATTTTCGAAAAATTTCTGGAAAACTTTCCAGAAAATTTTTCTTTTGAAACAAAAAGAAATCGGGAAACAAAACAATTGTATTTTTGAGAAATGTTTTGAAAAATTTTTCAAAAATTTGTTATGGAATATTTTTTTAATAATTTGCTAAAAATTTTCACGAATATAATTTTTTCTTTTAATTATACTGTTGTTTTCTTACTTTTTCGATTTTTCAATATTCTCAAAAAATACGCCATCTAAATTATAGAAAAAATTTTCCTATTCAAATTTTTGACACATTGTCCAAAACGTTCCCAAAAATAAAATTGTTTTGTTTTCCGATTTTAAAAGTTTTCTAGAAATTTTTTGAAAATTTGGAAAAATATTCTAATTAGAATTTTTTTAAAAAACTTCTGGTATCGCAACAGGTCACTCTCGGCGCCAGTAAGGAATTCGAAAGTATTTAACCCGGAGTTGATTAATACGAATGGTATGAGTTTCATTAAGAAATGCTGATGAGCGGAAAACATCAAGTGAAATTGATGAACACCCTACATTAAAGAATCCGTCTGCCCTTCCTAATTTCTTCAAAATGAGGAAGTATTCATTGTTGATAGCGACTATATTTTGAACGATATTTATCAATGAATCTACTGTGTCCTCATGGTTATTCAAGGAAATGTCGAGGTTGCGATATTTTGGTGACCGATGTTGAGCGCTGTCGACAATAATTGTCGGAGGAAAAGGTCCATAGCAGCTTTTTTCAAGAACTGCGCTGCAACCTATTGATTCTACAAGAGGAATTGCTTTCCGGACGTCCACGATTTTTCGTTCAACATTTCGCTTGTAAATTTGCTGTAAATGTTCATGCGGTTTTCAACAGGCTTCTCGGAAGTACGTCGTGGTATTTTCATAAGGGAATGCAGAAAAACCATCAATGCACCCAAACCGTTTAGCATCTTTGACGACATAAGAGGCAATGAAAATATAACTCATAAATTCCGCTGCATAAATTGCTTCCGCATGATCATGGCGATTCCCGGTTGGACAACGTTTGAATATAAGCCCACCGCACGAATGGACAATTCAGATATCGAAAAGTATTTACAGATTGAAAAATAGGCCGTTAAAAACGTCGGAATTCCTTTCGTGGATGCGTGGCGATATGTATTATTGTTAATTAAATCTTCAATCACAATCATATCATACAACCTTGAATGGAGTTATATAGTACTCAGATTTGAGATTCAAAAGACCAGGTGATGTTAAACCGTTGATTCAGGGATTTGTATGGCATATTTTGTAGTATTCAATAAAGTACAACACAATATTGACATGTTTTCATCAAAATTGCCGCAAAAGCTTTCAAACCGCCCTAGCAAACTATCATCCACGCTATAGCGTGGATGTAGTGTGTATGTTGAGTGGATGTTGCGTGGATGCAATTTTTGGATGAAAAACAGGAACAAATCAATGAAAACAGATGATAGAATGATGCGGGATGAATAAAGTGGATTATTTGATACATTTGGCGATGTTTGTTTGATTATTTTGGGATAAATTATAAAAAATATATAATGGGCAGAAGTGAGCATGAAAACAGCGTTCGGAAAATGCCGAGAGATGGCGGTAGGGTTATATTATAGACTTCGATAACCGACTTGAACGTAGCCGTTTAATCGCGGGCCCCGGAGCACTGTGCATTTGGAAGACTAGCGCCGCCCCGGCCGCAAGCGGCCGGGACGTTGACCCCATTAAATGTGTGTATAGTATAGTGTGATGAGGTGACGATGCGATGTATGGTAGAGATGTCGCTTTCGATTATCGCAGTTGAACGATTATCGATATTCAATGTCAATTCGAGATATCCATGTATTTTTTATATAAGGAATCTATTTTTTTTATTAACATTTCAAGCTCCTTTCTTCATAAATATGTAGGTAATTTGGTGGAATTTAGGAGAACATTATCAGAATTGAGGAGTAATTAGTTTTCGTTTAATTGAATTTTTTTTTTTGTCAATAATAATAAGCAGAAGTTATAAGTTAAAAAAATGAGCAGAAGTTATAAGTTAAAA